GAGAATCTATACCTTGCGCTTGTTTTTAAACATCATTGTGATTTCAGTATTGGGTGGTTGCTTCTATGCAATCTACTTAGCTACGAGCTATTCACAAGAGTACAGTAGCCGAGTAAGTAATTTATGTCATAGTAACCAACTGGGTTTCTAAATTTCTATCTTTTAGCTTTATGATGTCATGGGGCTAAATCAGGGGATACACACATAGTGTTTTTTTATTCAACCACAAAACTCAGAGAACCCTGCATCAACACAAATAGGGTAGATGCAGGGATCTCACCCGCTGTTCTATTGTATTCTGATAGATAGCGGGACTCCCCATAACCCCTTCCCCCCTTCAAGAGAACACAGATCAGCACTGCAAGCGCTGATCAAATGTTGGTTTTCCAGCAGGACTGTTTGACAGAAGCCATTCCTCAGACCGGCTTCTGTTGAACACACACTACACATGTACCAAAATTTGGCCAGTTCATGCTGAACCAGACAAATTTTGGTACGTGTATACCGAGCCTAATTTACTAAAGACAAATAGGCTGTTCACTGTGGCATAGTTTCACTTTGCAAAGAATACCCAACCACATGCAAAGAAACCCCCAATAAACAGCATTTAACATACAGGTGAAACTCAAAGAATTAGAATATCGTGCAAAAGTTCATTTATTTCAATAATGCAACTTAAAAGGTGAAACTAATATATGAGAGAGATTATAACATGCAAAGCAAGATAGTTCAAGCCATGATTTGTTATAATTGTGATGATTATGGCTTACAGCTCATGAAAACCCCAAATCCACACCACAATCTTAGAAAATTTGAATATTACATGCAATCAATAAAACAAGGATTGTACATAGAACGATATCGGACCGCTGAAAAGTATAAGCATGCATATGTACTCAGTAATTGGTATGTGCCCCTTTTGTAGCAATTACTGCCTCAATGCGGCGTGGCATGGAAGCTATCAGCCTGTGGCACTGCTGAGGTGTTATGGAAGACCAGGATGCTTCAATAGCGGCCTTCAGCTCTTCTGCATTGTTCGGTCTCATGTCTCACATCTTTCTCTTGGCAATGCCCCATAGAATGTCTATGGGGTTCAGGTCAAGCGAGTTTGCTGGCCAATCAAGCACAGTAATCCCACGGTCATTGAACCAGGTTTTGGTGCTTTTGGCAGTGTGGGCAGGTGCCAAGTCCTGCTGGAAAATGAAGTCAACATCCCCATAAAGCTCGTCTGCGGAAGGAAGCATGAAGTGCTCCAAAATCTCCTGGTAGATGGCTGCGTTGACCCTGGACTTAATGAAGCACAGTGGACCAACACCAGCAGATGACATGGCTCCCCAAATCAACACAGACTGTGGAAACTTCAACCATCTTGCAGTGTGTGCCTCTCCATTCTTCCTCCATACTCTGGGTCCTTGGTTTCCAAATGAGATGCAAAAGTTGCTCTCATCAGAAAAGAGGACTTTGGACCACTGAGCAACAGACCAGGTCTGTTTTTCTTTAGCCCAGGTAAGACGCTTCTGACATTTTGTTGTTCAGGAGCAGCTTGACAAGAGGAATACGACATTTGAAGCCCATGTCCAGGATCCGTCTGTGTGTGGTGGCTCTTGATGCACTGACTCCAGCCTCAGTCCACTCCTTATGAAAGTCCGCAACACTTTTGAATGGCCTTTTCCTGACAATCCTCTCCAGGCTGTGGTCATCCCTGCTGCTTGCGCACCTTTTTCTTCCACACTTTTCCCTTCCACATAACTTTCTATTAATGTGCTTTGATACAGCACTTTAGGAACATCCAACTTCTTTTGCAATTACCTTTTGAGGCTTTCCCTCCTTATGGAGGGTGTCAATGATGGTTTTCTGCACAACTGTCAGGTCAGCAGTCTTTCCCATGATTGTGATTCCTACTGAACCAGACTGAGAGACCATTTAAAGGCTCAGGAACCCTTTGCAGGTTTTATGGCTTAATTAGCTGATTATAGTGGGACACTTTGAGCCTAGAATATTGCACCTTTTCACAATATTCTAATTTTCTGAGATTGTGGATTTGGGGTTTTCATGAGCTGTAAGCCATAATCATCACAATTATGACAAATCACGGGTTGAACTATCTTGCTTTGCATGTAATGAGTCTATCTCATATATTAGTTTCACCTTTTTAAGTTGCATTACTGAAATAAATGAACTTTTGCACAATATTCTAATTTTTTGAGTTTCACCTGTAAATGGATGATGGAAGGCAGCAGAACTTTTACCTCATTCACTAAGCTCTGGGACAAATTCCTTTGCAAAGCGCAATGTCCCCTGTAAAGTGAACAGCCTATTTGCCTTTAATAATATTAACTTGTACAATTTCACAGACTGCAGCCTGTGTGTTTCTAGTGCCAGTTAGGGAGTGACAAGCTTGATATTTTGTGGCAGCCTGCAACAAATTCAGTTTTTTCTCTTTGCACTTTGTTCTGTCCAAGCAGCTCATTTTGAAGAACCACTCAGCGTTCTGTGTTTGAAAAAAAGCAGCATTGGCATTACTGGAGCACACAAAAGTGCAAGCCACAGTCAAAGGGAACCTTAAAATAAACCTGATTGCTTGATATTGCTAGGTTGTAACTTGAAAGAAAACTTAAATACATTATACAAAAATGACTCAACTCAAATTCCAAAAATCTACATAAAACTAGAATGCAATGATTTGCAAATCTCATAAACCCATATTTTATTCACAATAGAAAATAGAAAACATATCAAATGTTTAACCTACCAGCGCACTGCCAGCCGTGGCTGTCAATCACCGGGTCCTGACCCGTGATTACCCGCCGGCGCCCGGAAATTACAGAGGATCTCTGATGGGGAGGAGGGCTGCTTTGTTTACTAACAGTCCTCCTCCCTGTCGGCTCAGTCACACTGCTTTGGATGGCTGTGCACAGCACAGCCATTCAGAGCAGTGTGCTTACAGTTACACCAACACACCACCCCCCAGTAAAACACTCCCAGCACACAGTTAACCCTTTGATCGTTCCTCATGTTAACCCCTTCCTGCCCAGTGCCATTAGTGCAGTGTCAGTGCTTTTTGTTTAGCACTGATCACTGTATTGGTGTTACTGGGGATGTCAGTGACACCAAGTCAGTTCCCCCCCAGTGTCAGAATGCCCGCTGCAGTCCCGCTACAAATTGCTGATCGCCACCATTATTAGTAAAAAAAAAAAAAATTCCAGTATCTATACCGCCATTTGTAAACGCTATAACTTTCACGTAAACCAATTAATTTACATGTATTGTAATTTTTTTTTCACAAAGACATGTAGCAGAATACATTTTGGCCTACATTTATGACTAAATTTGAATTTTTTTTTTTACTGGACATGTTTAATAGCAAAAAGTCAAAAATATTGTTTTTTTTTCTCAAAATTGTCGGTCTTTTTTTTTTTTTTTTATAGCGCAAAAAATAAAAAATGCACAGGCAATCAAATACCACTAAAAGAAAGCTCAATTTGTGGGGAAAAAAAGGACATAAATTTCATTTGGGTGCAGCGTTGCATGACCGCGCAATTGTCAGTGCCGTAACTCAAAAAATGGCCTGGTCAGGAAGGGGGGTAAATCCTCAGTAGGCAAGTGGTTAAACTGTAAAAAATGTACAATAAAACAATTATATATTTTAACTTGATGGAAGTGACACGTCTCAAATAAGTTAGGACAGGGAAACACAAAGCTGGTACTAACAAGGAAGAGCTGGAAGAAATTTTGCAACTAATTAGGTTAATTGGCAACAGGTCAGTAACATGGATGGGTATAAAAAGAACATCTTAGATTGTCAGAGTGTCTCAGGAGTAAAGATGGGCACAGAGGGTCACCAGAGGGTCTCAGAAGTAAAGATGGGCACAGAGGGTCACCAGAGGGTCTCCGAAGTAAAGATGGGCACAGAGGTTCACCAATCTATGAAAGGTTGCATCTAAAACCTTGTCAAACTATTTCAGAATAATCTTCCTCAATGTTAAATTACAAAGACTTTAAATCTATCATCATCTACAGTACATAATATCAAAAGATTCAGAGAATATGGAGAAAAATCTGTGTGGAAAGGACAAGAGTGATATGTAATATTGGATACCCATGATCTTTGGGCCCTCAGACGGCACTGCATTAAAAACAGGCATGATCTTGTGATGGACATCACTGTATGGGCTCAGAAATACTTCCAAATATCACTGTCTGTGAACATAGTTCACTGTGCCATCAAAAAATGCAAAGAAGCCATATCTGAACATTATCCAGAAACACCACCATCTTCTCTGGACCAATTCTCATTTAAAATGGTCTTTTGTAAAGTGGAAAACTGTTTCTGTGGTCAGACAAATCAAAATTTGACATTCTTTTTGGCAACCATGGACTCCACATCCTCCGGACTAAACAGGAGAGGGACCTTCCAGCTTATCAGATGTCACTTCAAGCCTACATTTCTGATGTATGAGGGTGCCATAGTGTGTATCAAATGGGCAGCTTCAACATCAGGAAAGGCACCGTCATTGCTGAAACATATATCCAGGTTTTAGTACAGTATATGCTTGGGGAAGAATGGGACAACATTCTTCTCCCAAAACTCCAGTAACTGGTCTCCTAGGTTCACAGACATTTACAGAGTGTTAAAAGAAGAGGGGATGCTACACTGTGGTAAACATGGCCCTGTCACAACTTTTTGAATTTGGGGTTGTATTTTTTCTAGATTTTTGTTGCTGCCATAAATTTCAAAATGACCTTATTTCTTAAAATTCTCTATTTTCTCAGTTTTAAACATTAGATATGTTTTCTACTTTCTATTGTGAATAAAATATGGATTATGAGGCTTGCAAATCATTGCATTCTGTTTTATATGTACAGTGCTCAGCATAGATGAGTACACCCCTTTTGAAAAGTAAGATTTTAATCAATATCTCAATGAACACAAGAACAATTTTCAAAATGTTGACAAAACTGAGTTTTATAGAACATTTGTTTAGCTCAATATATGAAAGTAAGTTTAATAATATAACTAAGATTACGAAATCTTCAGTTTTACTCAAATTAGTTGATGCAAAAATGAATACACCCACAACAAAAACTACTGCATCTAGTATTTTGTATGACCTCCTTGATTTGTAAGGAAAGCATCAAATCTTCTAGGCATGGAATGAACAAGTTGGTAAATATTGCAACATCTATCTTTTTCCATTGTTTAAAGTGTTACTAAACCCACAATAGTAAAATAAGTCTGTATATGTAGTAAAGCATGCTTGTTATACTCACTGTGGAACCTAAGGGGTTAAACCTCTGCATTGTGTAAACAGGCTGTTTGATCCTTTCTTTCTTTGCCCCTCCTCTTGTTGAAATGACCATCTGATAAAGACTGAACCCATGGTCACATGCACATGCTCAGTTTGCTGTGTATTGCTAGAGAGTTTTTTTTTTTTTTTCTTGGGAGAGTGCATTTGATCAGCACAGGGCCAATCAGCACTATCCAGACAGAGGGTCAAGGGTTTCACATCCTCCTAGAACAGTAAGAAAACTACAAGCTTTAACCAGTGCTTGGCTGAAGTCACAATACTGCTCTAACTGCTGATGAGAAAAGGTATTTAGCAGTTTATACTTACTAAACGAATTGAATTTCCATATTCTGTGTACTGTGGGAGACCAGATATAGTGAATGCAGGGTCCTGGGTTTAGTAACACTTTAAGAACAACCTCTTTTAGAGCCTGAATGCTGGATGGAGAGTGATGCTCAACACTTGGCCACTGATTCACTTTCACACTGTTCTTCAGAAATGCGACATGGGCCTTAGATGTGTGTTTTGGATTATTGTCATGCTGGAAAAGTGCACGACGACCAAGGGCACGGAGTGCACTGCTTTGTACTGCTTTTCAATATAAAGCAGTACATCTGTGAATTCATGATACCATCAATGAACTGCAGCTTCCCAACACCAGCAGCATTCATGCTCCCACAGAAGGACACTGACACCACCATGCTTCACTATAGGCAGCATGCATTTCTTTTTGTACTACTCACCTTTGCAACACCATACAGTTTTGAATCCGTCCGTTCCAAAAACATTTATCTTGGTCTCATCACTCCAGAGTACAGTGTTCCAGTAGTCTTCTTCTTTTTAAGCATGGGGCCTGGCAAATTCTAGGCTGGCTTTTTTGTGCATGGGCTTTAGGAGATGCTTACTTCGTGGATGACACCCATGCATTCTATTCCTCTGCAGTGTATGATGTATTGTGTCACGGGAAACAGTCACCTTAGTTTGGCTTTCTACTTCTTAGGCTAACTGCAGTGAACTTTCATGGTGATTTTCTTCAACCCTTCTCAACAGAAGACCCTCTTGTTGTGGTGTTACCTTCTGTGGATGACCTGGATGTATCTGTGAGATGGTTGCACTTCCATCTTTGTTAAATTTTTGATCACTTTTGCTACAGTATTCTGACTGATAAGTAAAACTTTGCTGATCTTCTTGTAGTCTTCACCTTTCTTGTGTAAAGAAATTCTTTTCTTTCTTAGGCCTTGTGCCATTTCTCTTCCAAGTGGTGCCATTGCTGACAGCATGAAATGGGAAGGGGTTTTCTTGGTTAAGTAATGCCCTTTTAAAATCAACATTCTGCTGGACACCTGTTTAATGAATAATTAGACTCGCCTGTAGTTGAATTCTTGTTAATTAGGATTTTGCTGTCTACAATTTAGCTTTGCTCCTAAGACTTTCATTGCGGTTTATTCGTTTTTGCAACATGGTCTTGAAAGAATTTGTTAGGAAAAATACTGTTTTGTGTGTGCAAATTAGCAAATCTTGTTTGCAATCACTGGCTCACATTTGTGGGAGTATTGTGTAGTATAGTGTCCCATAGAAAATGTTGATTCTGAAAGGAAAGTAAAGGTTTTCTGACAAATCTGTTGGGATGTACTCATTTATGCTGAGCACTGTAGATTTTACACAGGGCCCCAACTTTTTTGGAAGTGGGGTTGTAGTTTTCAGTTTGTCTGGCCGACACAGACTTCCTTTTTCATACAAATCATGATTGCATGAGTTTCTTTTCTTGATGTACTGACTAGACCCAGTTTATGGTAATTGGCTCTTCTCAGATGCGCTTCAGTTCTGTTGTTGCTGGAGGCACAATTTTTCTAGTTAGTTGTGTTGAAGGAATGATTGACATTTGTTATATATTGAGAGAGGTTTAAAGGTTTAAGGGCTACATTTACAGTTTCATTTATGTAACATATCAATTTACTGTAGTACAAAATGGTGAAACAAATTTTATTTGAGCGTTATTGGCTGAAGGACATTTCAAGAATAAGGAAATATAGTATATGGCCCATCTGTGCTGGAAAAGTGCTGTTGTAGTTTTATTTCATTTCACTCCCTTCAATGCTTTCTTTATGGTTTAAGTTTTTTGAGTAGGCAGTGCTGCATTATAACTGATCTAAATACTAACTCTGACAAAAACCTCACGGGCTACAATAAATAACAGCTAAAATTCTAAAGAATGGTGGAGAAGTGGGAATAACTCATTATTAGTTGTCTGCATTTACAAGCCTGTTGTGAAAAACATGGCTCTGTTTTGTATTGGTTGGTTTGATGTTGGTCTTCTCAGCCTCCTAAAGGTTGATGCAGTGTTTAATACTCCCCTCACCACCCTTCTGTGAAAAGTCAGATTGTTAAGGTTACACAAAAAAAGCATCTGGTTTGTTCTGTGAAATGGTAATAAGGTAAAAGAAATATACAGTTTCACCCATACTGGCATGTAGTGCGTCTTTATATAGTATTCCCAGTATACTCAGAATTGCATTTAAAAGCCTCTTCCATGATAAAGCAAGGCAGCATAAGTTTAAAACGTTATTTGAAAGCATTTTTATATAATATTATTATGCAGTCATGTAAATCATTGCTGTGTTTTCAGGTTATGCAAAAAGCAGACAGACTGAGTCTTCTTATAGAATATCTCCCATCTATTGTCATTACTGTTGCCAACTTTATTACTCCAATTATTTTTGAAAACATAGTACGATTTGAAGACTATGCTCCAGCTTTTGTGATCCGCTTTACGCTTATAAGGTATGTTACTTTTATCTTGCAGTATCACATTTTTTTAAACTTGGCACACTAAAGCAGTTCTGCATTGCAGATCAAAGCTGCTCTTCAGTTCTCTTTTTGATGTTGGTGCCAGACAGGCATTTTCAAGCATTTGTTATTGCATGTGACCGTGTGATAGGCAGTGGTGTATTTAGGTTTTGTACTGCCCTAGGCAACACAAAAAATCGATCCCTGCCCCAGTGGTACCGCCCCCTAAAAAATGCGCCTTGCGGTACATAAGCTCTCCACCAAGTATAGTCTCCCCCTCAGTACAGACCCCCCTCCCTGAGTACAGACCTCATTCCCTACTAAATATAGATCCCCCCTCCCTCAGTATAGACCCCCCTCCCACTAAGTACAGACCCTTCTCCATCATTATAGACCCTCCCTCTCTCAGTACAGACCCCTTCCACTTGTGCTAGTAGGGAGGTGGGGTGGTCGGATATGTGCAGGGGGGGCGCTTTGAGAGGGGAGAAGGCTTGTGCTCTTGTGTCGGGTTGGATTTCAAATCCAAAACCAGCTTCTAGCATAGATCCTCTCTCCTCCCAAGGTGCCCCCCAGCGCATATCCTCTTAACCCCCCCAATCACTTATTTTTTAACCCCCCCTCCCTCTTCCTAGTCACTCTGTCCCCCTCCTCTGCCTAGGACCAATATAAGGAACTTGGTACAGACCTCAGATCAGCACAGACATGCACAGCGGTGTCTCTCCTCCTCCTGTGTACATGACAGTGGAGGAGAGGGAGGCAGCTTCAGTGCGCTCTGCTGGGAGCCAGCCAGGGACAGAGCTGTGGATCAGTGTCACTGCTGCGGTATCGGCTGATGGACCCTGCTTTGGTCCGCCCACCCCATAGCAATGTCACTGCACACACAGGCAATGAGCAGAGCTGAGCACCGGACGCTCCCAGTCCCAGCACTCAGATCGCTCTGATCAGTGGAGGTTCCTTCCTCATCCGGCCACTCAGCTCCTCCTCTCTATCGCCTCTGACCTGACTGTGTGTACCCTGCAGATAACAGCTCCTGTGTGCACTGCCACGTCCTGTGTCACTTCTGCCGGGAGGGGGCGGTGCCGCCCCCCCCTCCCGAAGATGCCGCCCTAGACAAATGCCTTGTTTGCCTCGCGGTAAATACGCCCCTGGTGATAGGTAGCATAAGTGGAATTTCACTGTAGAATACATACATACATAAATACATATGTGTACATTGCCACCTACACTGTTAGCCAGATTAAACTTAAATAGAAGTTCTTCCTAAAGCTGATACTTGACCAGTTTAGGAGAAGGCACAAAAATGTGCCTGCTGTAACCTCTGTTAATAGAAGCCCCTGTGTGCTCTTTTGATCCTATTTTCTGATCCTACACTTACCTATAGTGTGCCCAAACACCACATATTTTTTTACATATATGCCTGTATTGCATTACTGTTACTATTCTATACTATTACTATAGCTTTTACTATTCTGAGACTAATATTTAGCAACATTGCAAAGTTCACATATTGTCTTGTGTTATGTGTTCTGTATTTGTGTCATTGTAATGTGTGCATTGTCCAGCAGTATTTCACAGGACCTCATTTCATCGCTTCACTGTGACTTTGGCTTCTTGTTTTGCTGTCTGTTGAGTGCAAGGTGGAACCATACAAAGGCATGTTTTGTAACCTGCAGTAGTTTCCCAGAAAGATAAAGTTACGCAAGACAGTAATGGAAAGTTGTTTTCTACCCCCCATGTCTCTATTTCCTTGATCTGAATCAGTGTGTCTTCTAGGTGTGTGTTTGTGCGATTGGCCAGCATTGCTGTACTACTTATCTCTTTATGGACTAAAATCACTTCTTGCTCAGACCAGAACTGCAAGACTTGTGGATATAACTATAATGATTACCCGGTAAATCAGCATTTCTTTTTGTCATTGTTGTAGAACCTTTTTAGCTCTAACCATTCATTCAGTGAATTGTAGAAAAGTAAAAAAAAACTAAAACAAAAAAAGAAAAGTAATTGAGGTGTAAGGGCCACAGGGGACACAACTTCCCATGAAAACTTAGATAAACATGCAGGCTTAATAGGAGAATCTAAATTTCCAGACCAGTGATTCAAAGTATTGGAGCCACAGGGGGTGATTTACTAAAACTAGAGCATGCAAAATCTGGTGCAGCTCATTTTAGTATGCCATTCAGTCAACTAACATTTTAATGAGGGGAGATCAGTGATTACAACCTACTTGTTTTTTCTTCTTGGCAGGTTTCCTTTAACCACTTTACGACGGCCTGCCTGCAATGTATTATGAACAGGTGGCTCCTGTAGATAAAGCGATGTATGGGGTCGTTGCTTCCTACTTCCAGGTTTCAGGCGTGACCCCCTTGTGTACAGTCAAGAGTCAACACAGAGCTCTGTACACAGGGAGCAATTTGTCAGCAGGGATGAGAAACTGATAGATCTCTTAGTAAAAGCAGCACACTTTATACACATAATCACTGTATTAATGTCACTGGTGGTGTCAGTTAGTGTCAGATTGCCCGCCACACTCCCACAGCCCCATTATAGGTTGCTGATGACCTCCAGTAGTAGTATAAAAAAACACACACACATTCCAATATATATACCATAGTTTGTAATCGCTATAACTTTCATGCAAACCAATCAATATACACTTATTGGGATATGTAGCAGAATACATTTTGGCCAAAA